TTCAAGTATTTTATTTCTCATGGGGCTATTCACTTGGGCTTTCTCTGTTTTCCTAATGTTAGCACTGATTTTGCTAAATTTTCCTGTTAGAACTGCTTTCAGTGTCCCAGATGCTTTGTTGAATTATACATTTTTTGTCACTTCCAGAAACTTTTCTCATTTCTTCTTTGATTTATTCTGTGATCCATTGGTTGTTTAGCAATTTTCCAGGACCTTTTGCTTTTTCTGAAGTTCTTCCGTCATTGATTTGTGTTTTCTTTGCACAGTGGTCAGACAGTATGCATGAGGTGATCTCAATTGTTTTACATTTGTTTAGGTGGACTTTTTGGACTCTTATGTGATATATTTTGGAAATAGTACCATGTGCTGCTGAAAATAATGTATGCTCGTTTGTAGAAAGATGGAATATTCTGCAATAGCCATTAAGTCCAAAGGCTCAAGAGGTTCAGCTCTGAAATTTCTGTATTGCTTTTTTTGTTTATTTGATCTATCTCTTTGTGAAAGTGAAATTTGTGTTAATGTATATTTGACCATTTAATTTCAGGAGCTTTTGCTTTATAAAGTTGGTATATGGTGGATAAAGGTTTAACAGTATTATCTCTTCTTGGTTGATTGTTCCTTTTACCTTCCTTGTCTCTTCTAATCAGTTTTAAGTTGAAGTTTATCATGTCTGATATTAGAATTGCTAGCCCTGCTTGTTTTATGAGTACTGGTGCATGAAATGTTGTTCACCATCCTTTAATTTTTAGTCTATGAATACCTTTTTAGGTTAGATGAGTTTCTTGAATATGACATATTGTTGAATTGTGATTTTTGATCCAGTCTACCAATCTGTGTCATTTAATTGGAGAGTCAAGGCCATTAACATTGAGAAATATTATTGAAACATGTTTATTATTTTCTATAATTTACTTCTTTATCTGTTGGTGTTTTGTTTTCTTTTTCTGATTATTATTGCTGTTTTTTTTTCTATTCACCACACTAGTTTCTTCTTTGTTTTTTGGTACATCCAATTTGTTGTTTCTGTCAAAAATTTTCTTAAGTATTTTCTCTAGAGCTGGTTTAGCACTCATACGTCTTCTGATCTTGTCTTTTTCATGGAAGTGCCTTATTTCTCCATCTATTTTGAAGGATAGTTTTGCTGGGTAAGATAATCTGGCTTGGAAGTTTTTTGCTCTTTGGGCCTGAAGTACTTCATTCCAAACTCTTCTGACCTTCAAGGTCTGCCTGAGAAGTCTGCTGTCACTCTAAATAGTTTACATTTATATGTAATTTTTAAAATTTCTTCTGGTTGCCTTTGAAATTTGGATTTTTGCTGGATATTTGTGAATTTAACGAGGTTATGTCTTGGTGAACTTCTTTCATCATAATCATTTGGTATTCTGTATGCTTCACTTGCTTGTAGTTTAAAATATTTTCTTATATTTTTAAATATTTCTTACATATCTTCTGTAAGCATGTTAGTAACTCCACCTGAAAAATATAGATTTTCTCTAAATCCAAATAGGCTTATACTGGTCTTACTGTCATCTAGTACCTGCTGAATTAACTCCTTTTTGTTGTTCTCTCTCTGTCTCTGTCTAGCTCTGTGTGTGTCTCTGACTCTCTCTCTCTCTCTCTCTCTCTCTCTCTCTCTCTGTCTCTCTGGTTTCTTTGAGCCCATTATTTTAATTTACTCTTTTGTCTTCAGTAACAGACACTTTCTTTACCATGGTCATTTCTACAATGTATGAATTTTTAATTCAGGTATTTGTCTAATTTTTTTTCAAGAATTCCGTATGCTTGTTGAGTCTGTTGTTCAAGTCTTTTTGTTGTTGTTGTTGTTGTTGTGTGTGTGTGTGTGTGTTTTTTTTTTTTTACCTATTTCCCTGAAATTCACCCTGGGCATTTTGAATGTAATTGCTTTAAATTTTGGTTCATTTCCTCTTTGAACTCACTTATTTTCTTCATTCCTTGTCAGAACTTTTCACAGATCCCTGCTGTCTGTCTGATTCTTCCACATTTGCTAACCCTTGCCCTACATCAGTTGAGTGGGGGATTCAGAGATCTTCTATTGCCTTATTTTCCCATTTTCCTACTTATATTTGTGTTTATCTTTTTAAAAATTCAATGTGGTCCCCTTGTTTTTCTCCTTCCTTTTCTGAGGGGTACGGGGCTATTTCAGGTGGGGACTAGAATGAACCATCTCTTCTGCATTGCTCAGTCCTATTTTCTCCCCCTCTGACAGTTTCCTCATTATTATTGTGTATCCTCCTCTCACATCATGTCCTCTCCAAACCACTGTCCTCCAACTCATTTTGTCTACAAATAAACAAGCTGCTAGCACTCACTGCTCTGTCATCTTGCCTCTGTCTCCAAGTGTTACCATTTTAACAGAGTGTTTGCTGGAAATCCTCCTTTAACACCATAATCTTGCCCTTCTCTCATACTGTGCCCTCCTCTCCGTGACTTGCCAGCACATATTTTGTTTTGTTCTCTAATGGAAATAGGGCTATTCTTAGAATATTTATTCTCCCAAGATTACAGACACAAATTTAACAAAAGTAGATTACTTCTTCTTGCGTTTGTTAAAGGCATGCAAGATGAAGCAAACCATTTGTATATATATATATATATATATATATATATATATATATATATAAAGCACTGTGCTGTAGAATGTAATTCAACTGTTCACTGGATTTCTGTGGAAGGATTTTGTGTTCTCTCTGCACCAGTGATCTCACTTTTTATAGAAATATACCATGAAGTTAACAGGAATATGAAAAAGCACCTCAGAGAGGAATGAAACATCACTCTGACCTTAATAGACATAATATGATCCCTTTATGTGACACTAATACATCTGTGCTTGGAGAAATGCCAAAGCACTACCATTGATTCTTTTAACAAATACGCAGGCACTGCATTCTCTTACGTACCTACTGTTTCTGAGATGAGAAGCTGGGACAAAAGAAAGCGTCAAGAAAGACTGGAGTGTAGATGCTATGGGCATAAAGGATAATTTACTAGAGAAGATAAGCAATTTATTAATTATGACAGAATTCTTGATATTTTAAATGAGGCACTTGGAATATTTTAGAATTATAAGGAAGGGAATTACTGCTTTTCATTGATGAGTGATCACACGTATTTAGTGTCATTCCAGATGAGTTCCTAGGTAGAGCATAAATCTGCTATGTTAAACCCATTTCAAGCGTAATTTAGAAGTAGATAACATCAAAATACTTGTTTGTTGAACAATTATTATGTGTTCCAAGCACAATGATAGCTACTCCAGATACAGAAGCATGAGCTGAAAAATCCAAACTGTAATTCAGTTCATATTCTGTGAAGATAATGCGTGTGAAAAAACACGTGTGGGTCATGTCATTCTGGGTGTTAATTAGACTTTAAAAAAATCAAGCTAGCAGAGAATCCTACAGTTTTGTGAGTGTGGTACATTTTCATAGACAGAATGCTCACTTGAGGACCCTGTATACAGCGATGCAACCAACATCAAGGACACAGCATCAGTGGGAAGAAGAAACATCAAGTGTAGGAGGCTGATACAGGAACAAACTTGGGGCAGACCCAGAGAACAGCATACAGGTTAATGATTCTTTTAGAGTCATGAAACAGGTTTTAGGAGAAGCAGCAATGGAATAAGAAGGCTTTGCTTACCATGGCACATAGGTTTTACTTTATCCTTGAATTAATAAAAAAAAATCAATAGTTTTAAAGTAAAATGCCCTTGAAATCATGGCAGGCAGTTTGAAAGATAATTGAGGACAAGAGAAGACGAAGGACAAGGAATCAAGTAGAGAATGTCGGTCATGGGATTGGAGAGAATGGTGAGGCTTGGCTGTGTCATGTTCTAACATAAAAGCATGTAGTTCTGGGAGCAGGGATTATTCTGTTTATTTCTATTTTATTTCATTATACTCAAGCATGCAGTGTGCTATCTGGTACATCATAAGTGCTCAACAAATGTGTATTGAATGAATAGAAAAAAGTAGTGGCTGACTAGAAGCTCTTGAGGAAAAATTAATGAAAAATATATTTGAGGAAATGTGAGGGTTGACAAAAGCTTCTTCTGCTTGGGTGGCCAGATGGAAGGTGATGCCACCAGTTAAAGAAAGGAAATAACAGAGTGGTGAAGGTCTGCAGGGACAGTTGTGCCTTTTTTTTTCTTAGTGAACTAGACCAGAAAGAATACCAGCAATCTCGGAGCATTGTGTGACTCTACTGTGCACCTCTGTCATGCCTCACTGCAAGATTTCTTTCTTCCTTGGCAAGAAATTTTTGAAGGTCTTGGATAAGATGGTAATTGCTGCACATGGTCTGCTGAAAGAGTGCAAACGGGTGGAATAATGAACAAAAGGGGTATGCTTATTAGTGAGGTGTAGAAAGATGAGAAAGAGAAATAGGCATCTCTAAAGTATTTGTTTTAGCCACATATGTTTTCATAGAACGTATTTATTTATAAAATGCAACTCTTGTATCCAGGCAAGTCTCCTGTCTCTTCAAAAGAAAACAAACGCTCACTTACCTGTCAGAATTAGTGTAAGGAAGTCTTGATGCTATCATGTGAGGTGGAAACCTTCTCTTATGTCTGAAAGGCTTCAGATGCCATAGATCCCCTCTGCAATTACCTTTACTTGGTGTTGAGTTTACTGGTAGAAGGTGAATTTTATCGCTGAGCCTAGAGAATAATTTAACACTTTCTAGTTTGGGGTACTAAATGAGGAATGTTTTTCCAGTCTCATAGCCCTATTTAGGTCCTCAGATTTTGTCTCTGTCAGATACTATGGCCTTTGTGTCATTGAGAGAATCTTTTGTAATTGCAGCTTTCAATAGTATTGAAACGATAGTATTAAGAGCTCATTATTGCAAGTGAATTCCTGTCATCACTGTTTCCTTAAATATTGTACTATTTCAACTTTGATGTTTACAGATTTGACAGTATATTAGACTTCAGAGAAGAAGATGATACACAAGAAGTACCCCAAGAACGACATATGACCATGGAGAAGACAGAACCAAGGCAGCAGGACATAATCTGGTTTCCCATAGGGTCTCCAGAGTCAGTGATCCAGGCAGATCACTTTTACCAAAACCCCAACAGTGCACTGCCTCAACAAGTCTCACCCCAGTTCCAGAGTCTCCCAGGGCTTAGCAAAGCTTCCCCAAATGATTCATCTACTGATTGGATCTTACTGAATTCTCAGTTGTCAAATAAGAGTAATGACAACCATCAGGACAGAACTGACCATCGTCACCACACTATCTCACATCCCGGGTGTCTACCATCAATACAAGATAAAATGATGGTGGACAGAGGAAACAACTTGTATGCAATGATTACAGAAGGAAAACATCGAGCTGAAGAAAAATCCTGCGATAAGTGGCAACATCCTAGAAAACTACAGATTCAAAAAACAACACCAATTCGTAAAGCACCCAAACTCCTTGTAGACCCAGCACCACTCAGGAAACGAACAGCTCCCATTAACCCCGCATATACCATCCGAAAATCCAGAGTTCCTAACAGAGTTAACACACGGTCATTCAGGGAGAGGGTGCTTCATCTACTGGCATTGAAAGAGTACAGTGAATCGGAGCTGCTTATTCAAATGCAGAAAGATGGCATCAAAGAATATGATAAAAACACCCTTAGAAATATTCTGCATGAGGTAGCCAATTTCAATTACCAAAATTGTTCATACTCCTTAAAAGATTGTGCCTTCAAGGAGATCCAGAAAGACTGGCCTGGGTACAGTGAAATAGATAGACAGGCATTAGAGATGATGCTTTCCAACAAAGTCTGCCAACTTAATAAGCCATCACCAACTTCAAATTCTAGTAGAGATATTACACCTTCTCCTACAGATCATTTTTTGAATTTAATTGGTGCTAATAATTTCACAACAAGACAACTTAATATATCTCACTCTCCAACTACCACACAATCTACATCACATAGCCACTTAAACAATAACACTGAAAGCTATGTACCTAAAACCAAAGATTTTCCTGAACCACTAACTCCAACCTACATGCTCACTTCATGTTCTCCACTATCTGTAAATTCCAGCTCTAGTTCTTGTAGCACTCCAAAAAGTCCTCAGACTAAAGATCTGTATATTCAGAGTTTCATCGAAGACAGTAAAATTTTTAATAGTCAAACAAATAAGCATACTTCTTCAGAATTGTCCAACTCTCTTTCAGATGAAAATAAGCATCTGAAGATAATGGAGAAAAAATACTTGTTGTCTGAAAAGAAGTCCAAAAATAAATTTACAGAACATAAAGCACATAGCCAAAATTATAATGTTGACATGATGGACACTCAGAAGGCAGACTATGACAGACAAGAGGAGAGGCCAAGTTCAAACTCAAGCAAAAACTTGCAAAAAGATAATGCTGCCTCTAGGAACACTCGTTTACCTCTTGTGTCTCCAGATTATTTTTATGACTATTGCACAATTCTTTCCTCTCACCAGCGGCATCAGTATGAACAGGAATTTACAGCAAATTATGATGAATACTATGCCCTTCATTGCAAGATACTGGATGTGACTAGATCAGCTAATGAACTAGAATGGAAAAGACAATTCATCTTTCCTGGCTCAAAACAATATCTGCATATTACTAAAAAGATCTTAGCAGAACATCAGAAGATACAGCAAATTTATCCTAATTGGTATGAAGACTATTATAGATGTTCATACCTTTATCACAAGCTGGCTCACATAAAAAATTTAATCATAGCTTTTGACCAGAACACATAAGCCTTCATAATAGAGCTGTGCACACTTGAAACCTTAAACTTAAACTTACTTACTTATTTACTTAAAATTCCCAATATCTTGCTCTAAGTTTTTAAAGAGATGAAACTGGGTGGCTTGTGCAAGTTTTCAGTATTATTTTAAAATATAATTTAGTTGTTTCTTTCTATATGTTTATTTTAATTTTCATTTAATTTTTATTTTTATTTTGTTTTCTTTTATTTGATGTTACCTTTTTCATTTATCTTCATTTGCATTTAATTTTTGTGTTTATTTTCTTATTTTTCATTTATTTTATCCTTTTCTGTGCTTTTTTATTTTATTTTATTTTTAATTATTTATTTGTTTATTTATTTTACTGCTTTATTTGGTCCCTTTTCTTCCAGCACTTGTGTTTTTCTTTTCTGGGATATCAAACACTCAGTATCTATGAAGAAACTTTGCACATTTAAAAAAAAAAGAACTCTTGTGAGCAAGATAAGATGGTTTGAATAAACGTCTTTTTTCATGATATATTTTTAATGTAAACTCTTTCTTAAAACATAAACTTGGACAAAATGGTGTAAAGTATAATCTTTGAAGCTGTCACCTGTTTATGTCTTAGATCACAAGTTATATAGTTAAATGTAGCAAAATTTTTCAGCCATCACTTAGATCATGTTGTCTTTGCAAAATATTGCCACTGTAATGGGAACTATTTCATTTCCATGTCTGGGTTCTTAAATGTTTTCCAAAATTTGTTGTCAATGGTATTTGTCTATATCCTGTAAAAGACAATTGGAACATATAAAAAAGAACAATCCTTGTACACTGAGAAACCTAACATTAAAATTGTCACTTCTTATCCTCTAAGTAGATATTCAGTAGATAGTTGAGAAAGCTCTACACTTATTTCCACAGTGGCTGTAAAAATATACTGGTAACATGGAGGTTTTCCTGATCTCTGAAGCCTCACCAGCATTTGTTATTTGACTTTTAGATGATGACTATTATTTTTGGAGCACTATGAAACCTGTGCTATTTTAGTATGTATTTTCCTAATTTCAGAGATGTCGCACCTGTATTTGCTGTATTTGCAGGCCATTTGTACATCTAAGGCTTACATTAATTTCAGTTGCATGTTTTTTTAACTAGGTCGTTTATTTGGGCAGGGGTCTAATTTTCTGAGTTCTTTCGCTACTCTAGATATTAGTCCACTATCGGAGGTGTACCTCACAAAATTTTTTCCACTCTGTATTTGTCTCTTTGCTCTGTTGTTTCCTTTGCTGTACAGTATTTTTACTTGACACTGTCATTTTCTGATTCTTCATGTTACTTCTGCAATTGATGTTTGTGCAGAAAGTCCTTGGCTATGCCTATACCTTCATGAGGTATACCTATTTTATTTCCCTGTAGGTTAAGTTTTTATGTTTTAATATTTAGACCTTTTCCCTTTTTGATTTTACTATATAACTACAGATATTCAATGTTCTGTGTGTGAGTGGCCAATTTCCCCAACACTATTTATTAAAAAGGCAATTATATGTTTTTGGCCTTCTTTGCAAAGATCCGATGTTTGAATGTGCCTGGAGTTATTTTTATGTCCTTTATTCTCTTCTGTTGATTTACATGTCTGTTTTTGCCAGTATCATGCTGCTTTATTCACTGTAGCTTTATAATTGAATTTGAACTCTGGAACTTTGCTCTTCATGCCCAGGATTCTTTCTGCTCTTTGACGTGTCTTCTGTTTCCACACGAATTTTATGATATTTTTATAGTTTTTTGAAGAATGCTTTTAGTATTTTAAGATTGCATTAAATCAATGTATATACATTGATAATATGATCACATTGAAAATATTGGTTTTGCCTGTCCATAAACAGAAAATATCTTTTTGTTCATGTCTTCTTAAATCTTTTTTTTTTCAGAGGACTATATTATTCTTCATATTTGCCTTTTATTTCCTTGGTTAGGTTAATTCCTAAATATTTAATTTTAATTTTAAGCTATTATTTTCTTAATTTATTTCTCAGTAGATTCATTATTGGTATACACGAACACTACTGAGTTTTACATGTTGATTTAGTATCCTGCTACATTGCTGAATTACTTTTCTCTGTTTCTATTTCTTTATTTTGAAGTATCTTCAAATAGTATACCATTATATCTTTAATCTTTATGAAAATGCTGTCTTAGTATAGTAGTCATCTACAACTTGCTTTTTCCAATCTTCTTCCAGGATGAATCGATGATGGTGTGTGTTTCTGTTTCTTATTAATTTCCTCTTACATATTATAGCATCCCAATTTAGTTATCCATTCTTTCATTGGAGTTTGAGTTATTTCATTACTTTGTTGTCACAATGTCTCTGCAAAGAGTTTTGACCTATAATTCCACATGTTGTGCTATTATTTCCATGCGTTCATTAAAATTCCTTTTATAACCTCTGTGAGACTTTATTATTATTGTTTTATTTTGTCAACATTGATTTAGATTTAGGTGCATTCCCCATTGCCTTTCACACCTTGCACTACTTTTTGTTTCTTCCTGAAATAATTCCCTTTCTTGAAAACTTTCACTTAATCTTTTCTGTAGTTCTGATGGTGTGAAACTTGAATTTTTATTATGCATGGGCTTTTCATTGACTTTTGAATGGCATGTTAACTAGATATAGAGTTCTAAGTTAATGGCTAGAATAAAAATGCACTTCCATTTCGGTTTCCCCATTTTTTGTTAGACACTGATCTTATTGTTCTAACTTTGATGATGTCTTTTGTGTAGCTGTTTTAGAATTTCTTACTTGTGCTGGGGATTTAGCTCAGTGGCTTAAGCACCTGCCTGGCAAGCATGAGGTTGTGAGTTCAGTCCCCGGTGCAAGAATTTAAGAAAAAAATTAATTAAAAAAATGATTTCTTCCTTGTGTTTCACTTTTGGAAGTGTAACAAGATTACTGGCTGTGATTTTCATTATTTATTATTCTTGGAACTCAGTGTTTCTTGAAACTAATTTGAAGCAGTCGTTAGGCTTAGACATTCCTCACTAAAACTTTGTGAATGTGTCTTCATTCCTACTATCTCTCATGTTCTTTTCATCAGTGTCTTTATGTCTCTCAGAATCATCTCTATTTTCCCTTTTCTCTCCATGGTCCCGTCTTTATATTTCCTACTGACCTTTACTATAGTCTACCTCTCTGATCTCTATTTCCTCTGCAATCATCCCCATGTCTGGGCATCAGAGAAGATTTGGTTTTTTTCGTGGATAAAAATTTAATAATTCACACTTGGAGACCTGAGAGGTGAAGTGATGCTACTGGAGTAAAGGTATGCTAGAAAATACCAATAAATAGTTCATCAGTATTTCCCATAATTACTGTTCTGGTTTTACCTATTAGTTCAGCACCTTCTATAATACTCTTTAACAATTCAATTTATTCTGTTAGTGCATTGTAGTTACTAACATAGTATAGCTAATAGACTCATAAATTTTGGACATAGAGCAGTCACGCAACTTCAAATAAACAGCTAAATATTGTGTATAAAGTTTTTTCTCTAATATATCTAAATCGTGTACTTAACAGATTATTTTGAGGATAATTCAAGTATCTACCTCCTTATCATCTAACTAGCTAGCTAAGTATTATTTGAGAGACGACTTCATGTATAATGGAGACATTAAATGACAGCTAAAATGAGCTCTTATTCAGTTATTTGCATTCTGCTGTGCAACCTTACCACAAAATCAGCAGCTCAAAATGACAAACAATTATCTCAAAGTCTATGTGGGTCAGAAACCATGGCACAGCTTATGTTCCTTCTCTGTTCCGAGACTTTTTATGAGGCTGTGTTCACAATGCTGGCTATGACTGATCTCAGAATCAACTGGGAAAATACCCACTTCCAAACTCACTTATTGGATTGTTGACAAAATTCAGTTCCTTTTGGGCTTTGGACTAGAGACTCAATTGCTCCCAAGCTATTAGCTAGAGACATACATCAGATCACTGTGATGAGAGATTTCCATGGGGTAGCACATGATGTGGCAGCTGATTTCATTGAACTAACATGGCATAGAGTCTTCTGGCAAAAAGGAAGTCACAATCTTATTTAGCATAGCCATTAAAATGCCGTATTATAACCTCTGCCATATCCTATTTATTATGAACAAGGTATAAATGCTAACTGCACTTGAGACAAATGCACAAGAATGGAGTATCAGTGGGCGCTACCGCTGGTGATAACCTTAGAGTCTGTTGGTAATAACTATCTCCTATAAGAATCATCTCAGATAGCCGCATTTTAGAATTACCACTTTTAACTGCAGCTCATTAGATCATGTCTTTAAAAACTGCATGAAAAATCAAGAAATTTACTTGATTAGAAATTCATTTGAATAATATATTGTGTATATCAATTTCTACAAAGTTAAAGAATGTCTCTCTAAGCTGTCCTCAATATATTACAGTAGATGATCCTTGAAAAAACTGAAATCTTTTGGTTCTACCTTTTTAAAAATTAAACAATATTATTACAATAATTATTATTATTATTATTATTACTATTATTTCTGTTACCAGGGATCAAACTCATAACCTCATGCTTGCCAGGCAGACACTTATGCTGCTGAGCTAAATCTCCAGCCCTATAATTTTTATTATATGATTCATTAATTAAAACCCTCCTTTACTCTTCAAGTGAAAATAATGTTTTCATTAACTGAATGATTGCACTATAAATAATATCCTTCTAGGTAATTTTATTCAATAAAAGTCACAAGAGTTCTTCTTGACCATATGCTCATTTATTATCATTTATATTCCCTAGAAGTGACCTTAAACTATCTTATGTGCTTAATAAAACCTTTGTGCTGTTTCTGAAAGGGCAAGGTAAGTTATTTTGGTTGACAAGCGACGTGATTTGACCTTCAGTTTCCAGGATGAGATTGCAGGCTGATGTCCTTCAAACTTTACAAATTCAACTCAAAAAGCTGTACCTGAGTGTCCAATTTCTGCAGTCTCTGTGTGAATC